CGGGTCGCGCAATTGACGATCGCGGCTTTCCGCCTCAGAACAGTTGAAATTATGAGGCACCTCATAAATGTGCCTGAAAATCACCTCGAATATGAAAATGATTCCGAGCACTGATCTATGATCTTCATCTCTCGCATACATCGCTTCATAAAATTATAACGAGGTAAAAACATAGTAGTTTCATTTTACCTGAGAAATACGGAATTTTTTATTACACACAATCCAATAATAGTAACATAACAAGCAATATAATATGGTGATACAATGACAATATATAATAATAAAATTACAATAAATGAATCACCAGTACCTAGTTTGGCACGAGCTTCAGGAGCCGCAATGCACGAGCGCGGCACGTCACCGGTGAGATCGAGTTTCGCGACATGCGTCGCGATATTCTTTAGCAGGAAAAAATGGAGAATTAATCGGGAAATATCAGATGTCCTTACGGATAAATCACGAATGTTCCGGACGAAGTGTTCCGCCGTCGCTGTCTCCCGAGATCTTTCTCCTTCCAGTCGGCGAAGTGCAGACGAAGCTCAAAGTGTGCGCAGTCTGCACTTCCCATCGATTACTACTACCGCACGGGAGGAGAGAGAGAGAGAGAGAGAGAGAGAGAGAGAGAGAAACACACACATATATATACACACACACACATATATATATAGAGATAGAAAGAAGTAGGGGGCCGCAAGCGCATCCGGAATGATGCGTCTTTCGAAAATAGTGTTCTCTGCAGTAAAACGCACAATTGACCCAATTGAAACGTCGGTGGGTGCTTATGTAAAGAGAGACAGAAAGACAGAAAGAGAGAGAGAGAGAGAGGGGGGGGAGGGCGAGAGGAGGGAGACAAATATCCGGCCGAGCCAAGGCCACTCGTTAATTCCTCGCGATCTGTGGAAATCTCGAGTTCTCCTCGTGTGCGCAGCTAATGCGTGGCATTCCGCCGCTCCACTTGCGATCGATCGATGATTTCGCACGAGGTAAAAATAAACTGACGGTTTCGAGTGCGCGGCTCGAGAGCACGCCACGCCACGCCGCGCGTGCGAGAGATGAAACAAAATCATGGAGATAATATACTTCGATTCAACGAAGCGAGCACGATTGTGCGTAGGCGTGCGCGCGCGAGATTGTTGCTTCAATTTAGCGTGAAATCGGTGATCGCCGTTTTCGAAATGATTCCTTGTGACAGGTGAGCGAGGCGCGTTCCAGTCATATAAAAATTTTATTCACGGTCGACCGGTATGTGGCCGCATCTTATTAAGAGAAGAGATCGCCGCGAACATGGGAAATAGTGGGAGAGGGAGGGGGGAGAGAGAAAGGTAAGAAGAGAAATGCATATACGCGGAATAGACAAAATTCTTTTGTCGTACAAGAAAGGTAAGTCGACTACACGTCGCTGCGTTTCCACCGACTATTGGCAGAAAGGCATCGGGCCTCGACACAGTGTGCTGAATGAGTGGCGCTTGTGTACACACGCGTGTATAGAAAGTATCGAATGCGCGTGGCACACTATCGAGGAGCGTTTTTGCCCTCAGGGTCGGCCGTTGAAACAGGAACGATGGAAACAAGGCGGCATCGGCGGCGGCTCGCTTCGTTAAAGCTTGAAAATCGCATTAGCATCGACGTATATCTTCTCTCTTTCTCTGTCTCTCTGCTCTGTCTCTACGAACGAATATATCGGAGCGACGAGTGACGTTGGAGCAACCGGCGTCGAAATTCATTCCACAGAGAACAATTTGCGAGTTCGCAACGAGATCAACGAAAATAAAAATCGCAAAAACGGTTATATTATATTCTTGATTTAGAATTTGTTTTGTTACACACTTAAATGTATAATTGATACCGTGTGCAAAGAATGTCTTCTGAAGCCTCTGGTTTCTCTCTACACAGAAAAATTTCATTCTATTGTTAAGAAAAGGAATTACTCAATTTTCTTTGAAAATGTATTTTGAATAAATTGATGCTTATGATGGATGTATGATAAATTTGCCGCTATATAAACTTAATTAAATTAATTAAATTCCGAATTATAATCACTTTTTCCAGCCTTCCTAGCCCACAGTGTATTGTGAGATCACGACAAAATTAAAATACACTGAAAAAATATTTTCTATAAAAAATTAACAAACGGATATTTCCAATCAAATTCTGATTAATTTTTAGATCAAGATATCCGATAATAACAGCATTTCATCAAACAAACCGATCAAAAAATTATGAACCGTTATTTCTCATTGGATGTTTCCTGATCAGATACATAAATTAATCGGAAATATTTTGATTGGAAATATCCGTTTGTTAATTTTTTATCGGATAATTTCTCTCAGTTTACAATAAAATACTCTTCCATATTATTTTCCGAGTTGAATTTTGATTACACTTTTTTAGATTTTGCCATCCGATAGTGAGCTGGAGAATCTGTGTCACGAGTCGGTCGGTCGTCGCCTCGTAGCGACACTTAAGGAAAATTCATCGAGCTTCGTGACAAAACTCGACGACGACAACGGGACTTTTTCCCGCGACCTTCGACACACGTTGAAAAACCAAAAGAGATACCTGCCGGAACGAGACCGTCTCGTTACCGGCAAGTAACAGCCACCCCTTGTGCGCGTTCATTGACGTTTCAGGCGTAATTGAACGTAACAGCAGTCGCAATCAAACGCGTAATTCCGCGTCGATACGCGACCAACAGTCTCACGCGCACTGTATAGATCGAGTGTTCCTTTTGTGGTTTTAAACGAGCAGTGCTTTTTGTTTCGCGGAGAAGCAAAATATTGCGGGAGATGTCACGCTCATAAATCACGATGGAAAAAATCCCTCTATTAAGTCCATTAATTATTTAAGAGAAAACTAGATTTTCTCGTGAAAATTGTTTTTCATAAAATTCATGCACGAAACTTTCTCCTCAGATTAATGTAATGTTCTGAAAGAAAGCGTATTTTTGGGAATTAACTTTGCAAAAAGGAATCAACCGAATGTTTTGAAACATTGTATATTAATTATTAAACTTTATATTGCAATTTTTATTATTTAAAAAAAATTCTTATTATAGAAAAAATCTCTTATTTACAAAGAAATTTTTTGGTTTTTTATCTCCCAAGTCACTTGAACGCTATTTTTGAGTTCAGTCACGTATTTATTTATAGGTTTTTTCTAAATAATACAAAAGTAATATAAAGTTTAATAGTGACTCAATGTTTCGAAACGTTCGGTTGACCCATTTTCACAAAGTTAATTCCCACAAATACTCTTTTTTTCAGAGAGTTACATCGGTCTGGCTCCTTAACAATATAAAAAAGCGCACTTGGGGAGTAAGCCTTGTTATTGACATGCGTCTGTCTTCTCAGGACACCCGGTACACGTGCGCGATATCCCCCGTAACCGATCCGTACCATCGACGCTCGATACCCGCTCGTCCCGGCCATACGATGCCTGCCTCTCACGTAACCCGTGCTTCCTTTTGTTATGCCGCGTGACTGTTACACACGTTACTACTACACTACCACTACGCCGTTACATTACTACCCCCGTTACTATCGTGTGCTCGTCGCGCGCGTGTACGGCCGCGGGCGTGAAAGCAACGACGTGGTTCACCCTCTGATGCTGCTCGCGGAGACAAGCAAGCACCTGTCAGTTCGTTCGGTCGCGTAATGAGTAAATCACGGGGGAAGACGCCTCCTCGGGAAGGCGACCAGCGTCGACGTCGCCGGCGCTTTCACTGGGCCGGCGAGATCCCCCAGCTGTTCTCCTCTCCTCGAGACGCGGATCAATGCATCCTGAGAACCCCGACGACGTGCATCGTCGATTGTTGCACGCTCTCACAATATAATAATCCTAGCACCCCACTTTCGACGCTCCCCTCGTCGACGAGCGCAGTCGTCCGAATCGGATGTTTTATATCCACCCCGCCGTGCTGGGTATTAGTGCGCCCAACGCAGCCCGGTAGATTCCGCGGAGAAATCATGTTCAGGGGAAAACGCAAAAGTGCGCTGAGTTTCAACGGCCTTAACATTTATCAGGTGGAGATGTCCTCGTTGTGTTTGGATATAGTATATGCAATATGATATGCGTGATATGATATAATATGCAAACAAATACGATATGTGATTGTATAAATATGTGGTATAATGTAATATAATATAAATAAATATAATGTGTGATATAATAATGCGATATAACAATAAGAAAAATATATAAATTAATATAAATAAAAATGTGATAGTAATATAACATGATACATGATACAAAATGATGTATAACAGCTGTCGAAATGACAGATTATCTGGATAAACAACAGTCACAGCGTACATTTATATTCACACACGACGACTAGGATTGGCGAGTTTTAGCCTGTTGAAGCTTTACTGATAAAACTTAGTGTATCGTGAAACACTTCTCTCTTTCTCTCTCGCTCATTCGTTCGTTCGCCTGAAGTTAAACATTCGAATGATTAGATGTGAATCGTGTTTATTCCATAAACGACGCGGGATATGAATCGGAGATTATCAGAGCGGCGAATATTTACCGATCAAACACACGGATACACGCGCGCGGACACGACTCTACACACATACATACGCGCCGATGTCGGCCGCGCGTTCTGATACTTTCAATCTCGAACTCCGACATTCGCGATTTACTTTACGCGGATCTATCTTATCAAACGAAAATCCCACAGTGATCCGATTCCACACGGAATTCAGATCCTCCACACGGAACCGAGTCTGTCTCTCTCTCCACCGGACTGCGTTTCGTTATATTTTTCTTTTCCTCGATATCGAGCCTTCGTATGTCACCAATCGCGTTTCGATAACGACCGGGAGTCGCTCTCTCGTCGCGATAATGTATACATAAGCACACAAGTGTCGCTCATTATACGACTTACGAAAGTCCGCCGTGATCGGGACGAATTCCACGCGAAAGTCGCGTCTCGTTTCGATCTCGCGGCGCCGAAAATCGGTCGAGTCAGCTCAATTGGATAATAACGGCGCACTTACCTGTGAGTATAGGCGCGGAGACGCAGCTTCCGTCTGTAGTACGCGCAGCAGCACCGCGGTAGGAGCCGCTCACAGCGAACAATGACACGGGCGATCACCGAGCAGGGCTTGGTTCTCCGTACCAATCGTCCGTCTTCTGTCGCAGATTCTCTCTTGTCCCTTGAATCCGGGCCGCGAGAACGGCACACCGAACACTGTCTATCAAACAGCACCGAGACGAGAGACCAGACGGGGCTGGGCGAGGTGAGATCGACTCGAGTCGCGCGCGAGCACGTAAACAACTGCCGTTCGAACTCCGTGGAGACGCGGCCACCCCGCCACGGGATCACGGGATGACGCCGAACGCGGCCACGGCCCTTATTACTCGCGCCATCTTCAAATAGTCCCTTGACGAAACGCCGCCGCGACACTCTAAGCGCGAGAAGCCCGAGAAAGAGAGAGATAGAAACGGAGATCGGTTTCGCGCAAAACGCGACACGGCCGCCGCCCCGACACTGCAAACCGGATTCCTCGTCCCTCGCTCCTCGTATTTAATCGCGACACGGAAGATCGCCAGCAGCAACAACAGTCACCGCACGAATACCACCACGGCACCACACGCCACTGCCCGGGGCTAGGCGAACTCTAACTTTATTGACGAGGGCATTGAGCCGTGCGCCGCCTGGTAGAGGCACGCGCGAGTCATGCTAATATGGCGCCATCGCGGTTAAATTCGAATGGTCTTTGTGTCCGATTACTTATGAGCGGCTTTCTCATTTCTGTTTAGAGTGTCAAAAGCTACTTGCTTGTTTCAATGTTTTGTCTGCGGGCAATTACACGTATCCTTGCATCACCCTCTTCAGGAATGGGTTTACTGAAATCAGAAGAAAATTATTGAATTATAAAGTGACACAAATATGATTTCTGTCAATCATTTAATGAAATTTCTCTCGTGGAATTTTATGGTAAATGTTTGTCCATAATACCGTTTGTTATAGTTTTGTCGACAATGTTTGAATAAAAAATATAAAAAAAGTAAATATATAAGTTAAAGATATCCAAATTACATGTTTGCGTTAGTATCTCTAAAAACGTTATTGTTAAACATAGAAAAAAAAAACAGTCTGTATTCCTTAATATTTAGGTCTGTATTATTAGTTATTATTTGAAATTTATTTCATGTGTGAGATATTCAGGTTTGAGTTTAGAGTTAGATGCAACTTTTTCAGTTGAATCTGACTGCAATGTCCACATATATCATATGATATGATATATTATATATTCAAGAGTTCAAATCTGACTAAACTCTATATTCAGATTTGAATATTTCTCATGAGACAACCTAGACAGCAAACATTTCTAAGAAACACCTGAGGAAATAGGATGACTTTTTAGGCATTTCAATAACATCTGTTAAAAGATTGCTATCTGAAAAGCCTCAACCCATACAGCACAAATGTCCCAAATATATCCTAGAGAGATATTCAGTATTCTTGGGATGTCTGTAGGAAATACTTAACACATTATGCATGGGAAGTCAAGATTATCAATACAGGTTCAATTTTCAGTCTTATGTATGTTGTGTAAATATAATTTTATTTACATGATGAAACTCGACAGATAAAAAATTTCGATATTCTAATCTGATATATATATCGCATAACACCGTAAAAAAATAAGTGAATTTTATATTCAGGAATATACTTAGAAATGAGAAACTAAAAAGTTATAAAATGTTTTTCGAATCATCTATTTGTCACCATTGCCGAGGTGACGGCCCGTTAAGTTTCGTGTATTTTTCATGATGGAGAAAAATGACTTTTTGATTTTGTTGCGTAGTAAAAACAGTGCGTCCGATCTGCTGCTGAATTATAGAGCACGGAAATAAAGATGAAACGTGAAAATTAAAGTAATCGTGACGGATTTACTACATTTTAGTAGAACTGAAGCCGATTCGTTGAGAATCCGTGTAAAACTTTTTTTTTCTTATTATAAATATACAAAGCCACGATTAATAGACTTCTTGGCGCCATCAAACGGTGTTACAAGAAATTCGAGTAGTACTGAGTTTGAGTCTCTACTAAGCGGTTCGAATCTCGGTTTATATGACCCGTTACGATTAGACTCATTACTTTTTATTAATTCGAAAGCCTCTGCTACGAGTCGCTCCTGTTTTTGAAGGCCGATCTACATTGGTCGTATCGTAACGTCATGAATCGCAAAATCATAGCATCGTAATGCTCGTGAGCAGGGTTGGGCACGTATTATACTGAGATATTATACATTATATTATACACTGTATTATACAGTATAATACATTTAGTTTTATACATATTACTTCCTGTAGCGCCATCTCTTCCGGTATTCACAGCCAGTATTGAAAATCTATAGTTTATGTTACGTATACCATAGATTTTCAATATTTGCAGTAAATATCAGAATGCAGACTTTATAGGGGATTTGCTAGCGTCATTACTATTATTCTAATATCATGTTCGACTGACTCTGGGTTAACCCACTCTGGATTATTCAGGCTACATTTATTGGTCAAAAAAGTACTTATAAGCTTTATGATTGGCTAGTAGAAACTTATGACGTCATTAATCGCTCTCGGAGCGATTAACTCAGGGCCAGTCGAACACGCTATAACTTCTATATTTTGAACTTTTTTTTATCGCTAAAAGCGTTTCTAGAAGTAGCTGATAGCCAATCACAAAGCTTATAAAGCCATTTTTAGAGGTGCTTTTATCAAGTCTGTTCTTTTTCGTTGCACTGTTGCAATGGTGCAATAAGCGTGAGACAAACATATATTTGTATCATTCCAACTTATTTGATCAGTACAGGGCTGCGTTCAGAAATTTTACTCGATTAGTAGAATAACATTTAGAAAGGAGGTCTGTTCTTTTAGCTGAACTGCCTGAACTGGTGCAATAAGTGCAATAAGTTAGGGCGCATTCGCTTTGGCAGAAAGCAGAAAGATAGAAAGTCAATCAAAACTCGCGCTTGTAGAAACTATCAACTACTGTATAATCAACAGTTTCTGTTTTTGTATCAATCCTAGGTATTACACGTTTTATACGTTTTTATACGTATTAGGGTGCATTCAGATGGAGAAAGAATAGCGGAACAGTTACGGAAAAGAGATATAATGGGGGTCAGCTAATCAGAGTAATTCCGTTTTTATTTTGTTCTGTTGTTTGATAGGTAGGTTTCACATGGCACAGAACTGTTACGGGACGGAACAAAAACGAAAAACATTCTAACCTATCAACATCGAAAATTTTACAATTCGTCTGTCCTTCCATTCTGGGACAAGCTCCTTTTATAGGCAGCATAGATTAGCAATATAGGCTGCGTTTGGAAATTCACTGCCAGTATTGAAAATCTATAGTTTATGTCACGTATACTATAGAATTTCAGCACTGACAGTGAATTTCGGAACGCAGCCATAGTACGAGTAGTATTACATATATGATATATATTTCAGTGTTCTTACTATGGCCGGTATTCATAGTCGAATCTTATTTCAAGATCGTCTTAAGTAATGTCTTAATGGTCTTAATGGTTCATGACATCTTAAGATAGTACTTAAGATGATCTTAAATATAAGATCGGACTATGAATACCGGCCTATAGGGACTCTAGACGCGACTACCGCAGCTTTCGCGATTAATTTGCTCGCCATCTGCGGGACGCTCCGTGAATCGGTCGCCGGTTTAGTTTTCTTGATCGATGGAAGGGAATAATTCGCTCGCACGAGGCGATCGGCCGCGATCTCTCGTTCTTCTCCCATCACGAATGTGATCTCCACGTTCGCGACCATTTTTTATTGCTCGACCAATGAATAAAGAGAGACAAGTTGCCCCATCTGTTGTTTCTAGGTCGTCGTGATGGACGCGTATCACGGGCAAAAACAGCAAAAAGGCAATGGCGGCTCGTTGGACGGTCAATGAGCTCACCGTGAAAAACCTCGGAAAAATGTGATCTACACGTTCACGGACGACGAGCGTAAATCCGAGGTACGTGCCACGCAGGTCTCGCGCTGCGGCAACGGCGGCGGCACGATTTTTCGGGACGCGCGTCGCGGCGACCACGCTCGGGACATCGCCGAGAACGATCTCTGGCAACCACATGTGGATCTGGAGCGAGCGAACGCTTCTGTCAGGAAAACATAACTCGTCGCGCGCGGAGCCGGTGTCGTTTTCCACTCGAGTCACGTCGACGACATCGCACCATTATTCCATTTGCGCGATGTAACTGTGTAATTGCCATTGCTCGCTCGCGCTTTAATCTCGCATTGACGCCAACCGCATTGACACGACATGAGACGCTCCTGTTTGTATCGCATGAGTGTCATGTGCTTTGCCAGTAACGCGTTTCTCGCAAGATTCAACGCGTGTGTCAATTTGGCGATTTTTCGTGACGAAGCACGAAGCGATTTCGCGTGTAACGAGGCGGTAAGGGTCTACCCCTACATCTGTTCGTACGAAATAGCGTTAAGGTAGAAACATCAATGCCTCGACGTATCTAACTCAATACAATGCAATCTAACTCTGAACATTCGTATTGTTTTTAAGTACGAATGTTTAAACTCATAGCAGAATGCATATATATATATATATATATATATATATATATATATATATATTAAATATATCTTAAATATTGTTTTGGTCTTTAGATATGAATATTTAAACTTTTATATAGAGAATATATGTACATATATTGAATATATATATATATATATATATATATATATATATATATATATATATATGTATTCTATGTTGAAAGTTTAAAGATCAAAACAGTAAGAATGTCCAGAATAAAGTACATGTTCAGGCATTAGCACTTTCACTTTACAGAGAGATTCGCTTGAAGAAATATGTGATATTAAAGTGTTACATGTAGTACATATTTTTCTCTTTATCACTCTCAAATTTAGTAATAATATGAAATCTAAGTGAGTTAAAGTTTGGTATTTATGTATGAACTACAATATTCTACTGTATGTAGACAATGCAAACTACAGGTGTCACTTATGTGGACGAGTAATCTATGGATATTTTTAAAAAAACCTATTGCTATGGCTTAAAAATTAAACAGGGTCATATATGTTTATTTAACTATTAAATCCTGATATAAATTTATGAACGTTGTTTCTTCAAAAAGTTAGAGTCCACAAAATTTTCTGGTTACGTTATATTGCTTTAGAGTTAAATCTACTAACTTACCATATAATGAATTGAAAGTATCACGCAATTTGTGTTATCTTTTTTAAACATTACATTTCTAATTAATATTCAATACAGATATGGTAACTATCTCATAATTTTTTAATTATTCTTGTATATTATATATTTTATATTATTTCAGTTTATATATACCAAAAAAAGGAAATCATTCTTGTATATTTTAATATGATTTATGATATTCTACATATTTTATTGTTTATACATAAAAAAGACATGTATATATTACGTAGAAGTATATAAATGTAATCTTGAAATACACAGCGCAACTCTTATGAAACCTCTTCTCAACAGGTGTGGCCTGAAGTAGGCTGAGGTAGTGTTGCCTGCAAAGATAGAGATGGCACAGGGTACGTGCAGGCAATGGCTGATAGACGGATGGACCTGTCGTCGAATCAATTAGACAACGAATGGTGGTCGCTGGCAGGTCAGAAAGAAAGGTACGACAGCAGCAGGCAGGAAGGAGTAAATGAGCGAGCGCACCTAAGTAATGAGCGAGACTCGGCATCATATTCGCTCGGTCTCGGACTTATACGCAGCCGACGAAATAGAGGTGCTTTTGGAAGAGATACGCGATCTGGAATCACCACCTGCTATATATTCTAGACCGGAAGACATTCAGGACTTCGAAATTGGTACGAGTAACGTTGACTGTACATTTTTCACATTTGTATCATTATTTGCAATTATTCTTGTCTGCAAATTTATCCGCAAGGTCGCTGAATCTACACAGTCGATCGATTGCTTTACAGTCAAATTAATATAGACTCCCATGATAAACAATCAAGCAAAGCAAATAAAGGGTTAATAAGAGACTATGCATGGATTTATTAGCGCAACAATAGAAAAGTTATTTATTATTACATTGAGAGAATATTATAGTTTCTTCTCATATAAATTTTCTTCCTAGTTTTTCTTTCTTTTACTATGTTTTTAGTAGCGTAGGAATAAACTGTAAAATTTGACCTACAGTGTGTTCTTTGCTTCCTGTTTCTTTTTCTTCATCTCTTTCTGAGCCAAACCTCAAATCTTAAGCCAGAAAAAGACAAAGGACAAGAAATAGAAAGCAAAGAGCACATTGTAGATTAAGTTTTAGTAAGATCCATCTTGCTGAGGAATATAATAAATTTTTTAATGGTACATTTCAGTTTCTAAAATATAAGTAATACATATATAAAAGGATAATCAATTATGACGGAATATCGATATTCCTTGACTCAAAAAATTCTCCAGTAATTTTTACTGTAAAATTCTCTCCGTGCATCACAACTTGCTTTATGATAATTTTCCCAGATATCTGATAATGCACATATTTTTTGGACAAAGTTCTGGCTTGTCACTCTGCTTGCTCATTCGAAAGCTAGTTTTATGTAGTCGCATGCGCAAATGTATACATAGTTTCGATATTGTATCAATAGCAGGAAGTAGGACAGGGGAGCGAACCAGCTCCCAATTGGAGCTGGATTCGCCAGGGGTCCATTCAACAGTCCACTCTTGGGATTCGCACGCTAATTATCATGGCCACTATGATAATAGCGACCAGAAAGGCTCTGGATCCAATGTTCTGCCTTGGTCCCGGGCGAGTCACATTGTTATTTATTGCGACATACAGGGACATCTTAAAACACCTACGGGTGTTGTTAGACTCCTATTACTCGTAAGTAAAGTCTCTTATGTTTGTGTGTGAAACACAAACTGAGAATATTTATATTAAAAATGATAAAATCGTTTGGCGAATAGATACATTAACAAATACATTTGGCAGGTATCCTCCGCAGCTTGTTTGGCAACTTTATGCAGTTCTGGCACTGCCAAGGTCAGCCTTTTTATGCTGCCTTTAGTAGGACGTTTACGATTCATGATCTTTGTAGCTGTTTTCTGTCTCTTGATCACTGCATTACTTCTCTTCCTTGATATTTCGCACGTCATTTACATCCTTCCTTTAAATTGGGCTAAGTTGGTAAGTGGTATCGATTAAAGTAGACGTGCAATTCGGCAATATGTAATTAAGTACGGTCGTATGCGCGATTATATTCAAATCTTGACAATCACTCGATGTCGATACATGTAATAGAATCTGTTACCTCTTATAGAATGCTTGGGTATTCACTGGCATAGGCTTGTCATATGTGTTGAGTAGCGCATTAGTAGCATACGCAATATGGGAATACCACGTCGGAGGCTGGGTACCAAAACGCACACGTTCCCAACTGTCCGCCGCGGCGGTGCTAGGACTCTCATGTGCCGTATTAGCGTTTGTTCTTTCCTGTATACACGCTCGCAGCGGGTCGGGCTGTAAGGGTCAGGATTCCCGCAGTCACACACCGACGCAACTTTACAAGCCCGTGGACAATTCTTCCTCCTCCGGGGTAAATGACGAATGAACGTCCGCGTTTTACGGCCGCGCCGATCGCTCGGTCATGCCACTACAAACGTAAATTTCAAATCACGCAGGTCACACTGAAAGAACGTAGTCCCAAGAGGCCCACTGGCTGGGCCGTGAAAAATCAACAGTCAAAGAAACGCAATGTGGACAGCGAGACTAACACGAGCAACGGCGGTCACCGTGGCAGCAACCACGAGAAGTTTAAGCAAGGCGCCAGAAAAGACCATTGGGCTTCGGCCAAGCAGCACATTTTAGAAACGCAGACGAATAACGGGGAAGACGCCCAACAGGAAGAGCTCGAGATCGAGAGGAGACGGAGGAGACGGAGGAGGGACGGTGATAGTAGTTCCGGCGACGGAAACGCGTTGGTCAGCAGCAAGATCGAAGTCGCCAGCCGTGTCACCGAGGAGGCCAAAACTAGGCGGGTACCGCGGAAATTGCCTCTGCAGTCGGTGGAGCAGCCTCACACGTGGTCCTCCGACGCTCAGCGTAGAAATAGTGGCACTACGCAAATTAGAAGTAAAACTATGCAAATGCCAGTGAACAATGACGCACAGAATTGTTGTGGCATGAACGAGGGTAGATCAATTCAAGTGACTCGAAACGGCCTCCATTGGGAGGCGGAACGTACGTCTAGCAGCGGCATAGAGGAGGCTACTGATACGAACGTGGTTCGTAACGCCATGTGGTCCGGACAGTGGCACCCACCACCAGATGATGTTCAACCTTGCTCTAGCAAAACTATCGATCCTTACAGCTTCGCCTGATCGTCTTGTGAGATACGAAAAAAAAACAAACACGCGTTAGGCTAAAAATGAACTTGTTCGAGCCAAGCAATTTTTGTGAACAGTTGTGACAGATAAAAATGGAATTTTTTACAAAGCAAGTATTTTCGCATGTGTATATATATATATACATATATACATATATATATATATATATATGTATGTATATATATATATGTATATATATATACATATACATATATACATACCTTACGTTGAAACGTTTCTGCTTTTTATTAGACTGCAACCGTAGTTCAAGTGTTACTTGTTATATAATTGAAATCATACCTCTATATATTGTTTGCATACAAACTTGCCTGACTTTTCGACACGATATTTTGTATCTTGTATTAAAATAATGCACGGTGACTGTAAAAGAATGGGAGAGGAAGAGAGAGAAAGAATCATACTTTGATTTTCACACATTTTATCTGTGTTTCCAGCTGTGCATGAAACTGGATGTGATTTGAAATATAAAACGTAAGACATGTAGATTGTACACACAGTTGAGGTAACTGACAAAAAGAGAGAGAGAGAGAAAGACCATAGCCCAGGTTATTGCGGGGTTTATCAAGTTTATCGTTATCGAATTTGCAGGACGAGCTCGTCGTGTCTAAAAAAAGGTTTAAGATCCTGTATAAAAAAGTTATTGCTGCCTTGTACATTTTGCTGCCAAGAGGATACATAGATTTTCTTTAGTTGATTCGGGTCCTGACGTTTTGCATCACACAAAACCAGACTGCCCAACTTTGATAAGCAACTAATGCCATTCTTCATTCCAATCATGTACCAAATAATAAATTTAAGTAAGTTTTAATGGGAGTTTGTAAGTATAAGACCACTATATAGCACGTAACACCGATATATATACATATATATATATATATATATATATATTTAACTAATCATTTTTATTGTATTTTGATGCCAACATATTTTGAGCTCCATGCATACTTGAGGAAGTGTTTAGGTACGTGTAGAGGTCGCGTAATTGTTTAAGGAGGAGGAGGTATACCAGAAAGTGTATATATTATTGAACCCTTGCGCGGGGTTATATACATACATAGTGAGAAACACAGCTAGACCGATCTTTCTACTGATCCTACATACAAAATATGGCAGTTACGATTCGCGCAATTTGGCCGTTTATTCTTTTGAACTTGCGTATGATTATGAACTTTTAAAACACAAGCACGAAATTACCTTTCTCTTTTAATTAAACAGTATGATTTTATAAAGTAAAAATTGTGTTTGTGATTAAATGTAACTTTAAAGATACATGGGAAATTCTGTTATTAAAAAGAAAGTACGATTGAAAAATCACAAATGATATTTTGAATCAAATTATCAAGAGAGAAAATGATTAATTACCTCTTTCTATATTTATGTGGAAGTTTGATTTCCACGTCAAATTCTCGCTAAAGTTGAGCTATGATCGGATAGCTTATTAATAACCAGCATAGTACTTAAAATCGTAATAACATTTTACTTTGCAATGACAATACCTTTATACGTATACTTCACGCAATGGCCTTATAGGACTTTAAATTTTTAACGAAAGCACATATTGAGAGAAAGTCGAAGCTCATTCTTTAGACGGATGATAATTTCACGTAGACTCTTCGCGATGATTTACGATGAGATTCTATTATTTGACTCGACATTGTTTGTATCGGAAGATCGGTTTGGCATCAGTTATCCTTCTGTATGAACGAAATAGTATGCGTGGAACGATTATTCATTGTATTATTCTCTAATTGGCTCATAACTTTTGAAGTGTGCTCATTGTATTGCAGTATCGGTCTTGTACAAGGACGGACTTGTGAGTGTTACGAGCGAGTTTTATGCACGGTAAATTACGGCACGTATCGCTATAAAATTTTCAGATAAGGTAATGCACTTACGTACTTTACGTACACGTCAACTATATGAATAGTATAGTTGATCGATATTTTATTACATTTTAAATGGTACGATCAGAAAAGGAAGAAACGACAGACCATCCTAATTTGTCCAAATTTAAAAGCGGAATACAAAACCGTCCCTGTACATACCCAGTGTCTCCAAGCGTCTTGCGTAGCTTTGAAGTGATTAGACGATCAGTATTATTTATCGCGTTGATTTTTTTTTTATTTTAACGAGAGAATCTCTAGTCAACTCTAGTCAAGCACTTTTTTGTACAACTATATCTCCTCAACGATCCATAAAATTGAAGAGCAAGGTATTTTTTAGTACATACATATCGTATTAGAAGTACAATTCATCCTAAAGCGAAAAAAAAATAACGGTTGAGTACTTGTGTTTCTTGATCGATTGGCCCGTTGTTGAATTTCCTTTTTAACGCATAACAGCATCGCACAATCCTCTGAAGTAAATTTCTCCGATACCTCATTTTTTTCTTCGTTCAACGTATCACGACCATTATATTGATTGATCAAACACGAACATGTATCGGTTAATCTTATTGAGTAATTAATCTTGGTTAGGTAATTAATCTTGATTAACAACAACTATTTTGTCTTTTGATACAATGCCGCGATTATAAACACAAACATAACAAAGATACACGCATAAGCGTACACACATCACACGTACATACATACATATGTGTACACACACACAAACACACATACATACACACATTTATAGGACTTCGATGCGTCGACCTTAAATCAATTAATAGTATAAGAGAAATGCGTGTTCATATAGGTTCATAAAGAGAAATAGCGTGTAATAACAGCAGCTTCGTTGTGGCAAATATCGACGGTGTCATGACTCTGTTCTGTTGGGCACAATGAAGACATAACGTGTAATTTTTCTGTATAACGGTAATTGCTGATATGCTGGGAAAAAAACGTTTGAAAGTGTGAATATATCTCAAAGTAAAAGTAATGTCACTTTAGAGTAACTTAATCGAATAAAAGTATTATTTGGCGGTAAGGCGACTTAGCTTTGAGTTCAAGAAGAAAAGAAACTAACAAAATGTACAGACACTGCCAGAAGAAATATAATGCTCTTTCAATGTAGTGTATATCGATCGAATCCATTCATTCACGATAATTTCACATCCGAGGCTTCGTCATTTTTTGAATTTGAATTTGACAGCCTGTTACGCCTCCGTGTAGGGCAGATCGGAGTGAAAGTTTGTTTTTTTATGAATTGAGAAAGTCGCATATTCGCCATTCAATTTTCGCCACCTTATACAACGACTTTAATTTTTATGCGATAGTTGATAAATTCCAGCCAAATTCAAGTGCTACTAGCGACAAATAACAACTTGAATTATATAACTCGCATCTCGTTTCACTCAGGATAAAATTAGATCTTGTAAGAAGTCTCTGGTTGCCATATTTTATGCTTTCCATGGTATCTTAAGTTCTTTTGTGCGAATAAAGCGCGACTTGATTAATGCTTAAGAAATGTTATTTGCTTAAAAAAACGTTTCTATTTATATTCTTTCTTGCGACCTTTGAACAGTGGAATCTTTTTATTTCACATTTCGCACCGTTAATTCAAAAATATTTGAGACAATCATAAAATCCTTTTCAAACGCGACTGGAAAAAAATAATTCGAGAAGTGATTTGTCATCAAGCAGCATTATGGATAAAGTCGTTATCACACCTCTACGATGAGAAAGAGAATCAAATCGCCTCTCGTTTGACTTTACTAATCATCGCAATAATTATTTGCTTCAACGAAGTTAATAAATACTAGCGGTATGTTTGTGATACGTAAAGCACTGTTTCCTTAGAGTTTGTATACATAAGTTATCATTCAGGCAATAAATTTCAATTACAATTAATAGGCGCAGATTTCTTTACATGCTAAGCTTGATCGACAGTAACCTATAGTGATAGCACGACAATCCAAGTCTGTACATGACCCGATATCTCCCAAGATCCAGGCGAATTGGGAGGAATCGAGGGATGACGTGATCGTGTCCAATGAAGATCTCGAAGCATGTCCCAAAGAGATCAGCGATTAAACATCCGCGGAGCACGGCGATTTTCGGCGATTCCTCTCAATTGCAAACAGGATGATTCGACTGGCCTAATTTTTCATTCGCCGCACGATAGATGTACGTGTCCCCGATAAGAGCTCTTGGTTCATTCGGGCATTTCGAATGTGTTTTAATATTTATGTGTAGGTGTATACGGTTTTACCGATAGCGCGTCATATCTGTATAATTCGGTTACATGTGAGTGACAACAATGTGATGCTGCCAATAATAATGCTAGTCGACGAGAAACTGTAGCGACACGTTAATAATTGTAGGGATCGTTAGAGAAGAGACGCGAGATCCGAATGTCTATGAGGAAATTTAATAGAGGCTGCGGATATGAATGAGTACAGCTGGACAGATTACCAAGCATGACGTGGGGATTATATCGGATAAAGAAAGGAAGGTGGAGAAATAAGAACAGAGATAGAGAGCATCTTGGTGATTTGTCGCGCTGACAGCGAATGATCCGGACAATAATAAATGATCGATAAGTCACACGTAACACCTAAGTTAGCGTTTATCGCGTATTCTTTGAAAAACGTCATTTTGTATATCTAGGAATAAAAACAAACGAGTATAATTATATACACTTGTGTGCGGAAATGTGTGTGTGTGTGTGACTGTATGTGTGTTAATTACTTAACGAGGTATATCACGAAAAAAAAGAACTATTTAGTAGTTAGAAAGCGACTCGCGTGTAATGTTACTCGAGAAATGCGTCGTGAGATCCGTTTTAAGACACGGTTCTCGATCGGCGGACAGAGCTGAAGAGCATAGTAGCATTATATTTTGCGTATGTGCCATCTAAGGAACATTGTCACGCAATCGTCCGAAATACAAATGAAATGATGAAAATCGTAGCGCGATCCATTGAACATGCACAAGAGCCCGGTCACGTCCCTCGACGTGAGCGAGACAAGTCACGCACGGGAAAACAACTCCGTTCGTGTAGTTGAACTTTCTGTTATCTGGGAACCAGATGGAAAACTCTATTATAGAAACAGAAGATTCCTGTAAGAAGTTTCTACTCAGCCAGTAGTTCTTGGTTACCCTAACCGAGTTTTAACACAGCTGAATGTTCAGGTGAATGTCCAAACGATTTGTTTTCGGCCACAATAACAGATATTATTTCTCGTTGGTGAGTTTTTCATCTGGCGCTAATTTCAGTTACACGAACAGAATTTTTTTTCATACATAACGTAATGGTAATTGTATATTGTTAAGGTAACAATTATTCTCTTAACACGAAAGCGTAACGTTCATAAGGATACCGGTAGATTCTATGTCGAGCTTGTACTCTCACGTTTATCTGTACGTTTTGTAAAAGATCGATAACTACATGTGAGATTTTTTCATGTTTTTACCGTCGTATATCGACTAGCGCTTTATCTTGATATCTACGAAGATATCACGATCAGGGATTATGAAGAGGAGTACAACTCACGCGCGCGCTCAACGGGACTGACTTCCCCGTTGGGATTCGGAAGGAGGCGAAATGGCACGATCAATCGTTGACGCTACCGCGTTCAATTGCCTTCAACTTGCCGACTATGTCTTCCAAGCTCTTGCGACGCATGCATTGCTCCGTCTGATCGCTCCTGTCCGGCGCAAAGGGACGATAGGGGTACACGGGCCCGACATAGCGATGGATCCAGCCGCTTGAAGGGGAATCACACGAGGAATCGGAAGAGGAAGAAAAGCACGGTCACAGCGACAGTAAATAACAGAGTGTATCGAATAGTACATCGAGATATAATTGCGAGAAGAGGAAAATGAAGAGAAATCTCACATGTGTATTTCATATGTATTTCAGTTATCGCGAGTTCACACGATGAATGACGACTTACCCCTGGTCGCGGGTCGTGTACACGGCGGGCGACGAAGCCTGCGGAAGGACACGCATACCGTGAGTGCACAGAGGAAAAAATACTTGAAAATTGATTCGCGGGATATAAAGTGGGATATAAAGTTCGTTAGAAAACTAAACCTTATCTCAACTTGAAATAAACTTGACTTGAAATAAACTTGAAATAAACTTGACTTGAAATAAACTTTATATACCGCAAATGAATTTTCAAATATTTTTTTCTCAGTGTGAGAGAAACACGTGAGAGATCTAATTATTGTCTCTGAGAGTAGTTTCTCTTACTTGTTGCTGAAGTCTTAATTGCTTGAGTAATAAATATTTACAGTCGGATCGCGCCCAACTGTACTGCTGGTTACCGTGCTGCTGCTGCTGCTGCATGTTCGTTAATCCGGACAGCGCCGTCGGGCAGGTCGACGAAAATTGCGGCTTTATCGCTGGAAAGTAACGCTGTTGCTGGAACAGGTGTTGCTGCTGACACGTGTAATTCGAGTAATACGGATCATCATATGCTGTTAAGCGATTCAACGACAAGGAGGAGGAGGAGGAGGATGCTAGAGAATTCGTCACCGCGACTGCAACGAAAACGAAAGTGATCGTGACGTGTTTGTGACGATTTCACTCGTCTCGTACGACAATTCGTCGTGTTGCGCATGAGGTATCAATAAATCATATCTAAAACATTACTTAGAAAAAAAGAATGTATATAGATGTATGTAACTGTCACTATATATACGATATAATTTTAATAAACCTTTAGCTCTCTGAACGCTCAATAACGTGTCGTAGTATTGTTTCTTGTACGCGGCTATATCGGACATCGAGTGCACTTGAAAATTGTTCTCCGCAGTTACGTCGCTTGACCTTATCATTTTGCATCTGTGATGAAAAATGATATTATATCACAGAAAAATATTATTCTACTACTTACTCAATTTACTTTCCTTCTTTCAAATATATATTATATACTATAACATTACTACTAATATAAAATATTTCTCAAATAAGAAAATATACATTTTCTTAAAATCTTAATTTTTTATGTAAGCAATTGTTTATTTCATTTAAATAAAAGAATTTGGATTTAAGTAAATATGTTATTAGCATTTATCGAATAGTTATTTTTTTAGTTTTTAGCTATCTTTTCTCTCAGTGTAATAATTATCCTTAATAATGCTCTCTTAATAATAGTCTTAAAATGTACTCATCACAAATTTTAGATAAGTTTATTGTTATGTATATAAAAGAAAAATTTACTCTCTTTATGAGAATATCAAACTTAATCAAAGAAAAAGTTCGACTTTATGTAATGAGAGCAAGCCGAATTTTCATTTTAATTTAATATTTTTCTATTTTTCTGTGTGTATTATTGCGTAAAATAGTTCTGCTACAAACAATCACAATGCTCACCCATAATAAGGTTTCTTCGCGCCAGTTTCTCTGCGTTGCGTTGCGATCGTTTTCTTCTCTGTAATGTGATCCAAATTATTCTGGGGTAATGGCAGTTCGCTCATTTTACCGAGCTCGTGTGAATCATGCTTAGTTTGCGATCTATTTGCGACGCGAGCAAACGGCTCTTGTTTCGCCTTTTCTTCCCGGCGATTCTGTGCCAAGTTACCATCCACTTTCTGCCACTTCGAAAGTAAACCGTTATCATTGCTCGAAGAACCGAGATCTTTTCCTAAAACTTTGCGTGCGGTTGCAGATTTTCCCTTCATCAACGTCGAGTACAGCGGGTCCGAAGAGCACGCCCGTGGATACGATCTGGTACGCGGAAGGTCCGGTAATTCTGCGCGCGAATGTTTAGCTTCTTGCAATTCTGCACGTTATCTCTCAGGGAACAGTACGACGAATAAATTACCCAGATAGACTTTCATGATTATATCACGATGTATAAAACAGTCGACGATGGGTACTTTACAGCTTTTTTAATTATATTGATGAAGCGCGCGCGCGCATATACTGTATCCAATTAATCATCAAGTTTACCTTATACAAAAATATAATTTCTTGTTGCATTTTTGCAACAAAATAATAATAAATTTACTAAAAATTACTCTTTCATATTACACTTTAGATGACATGTTGTTTCGAGAAAATCTAGATCACTTTTTTCGTATTTCTCGCAATTTTAAAGTTGCTGCTAAATCCACGTTGCCAAATTACGTTATACCTGTCTATCTGGATAAGTGAAACGAAATTCGGAACGTTACCGACGTTGGTCCCTTCTCGCACCCGTTTCAAAAAGTTGCTCAAACTCGTTTTCAGCCCGACGCGCATCGTCGCAAGGAGATCGTCCGCCTGCAGAATTTAACGAATTTAATCACTCGACGAGTTAGAAGCTGCAAAAGAGAAATGTTTTTTAACGATTATTCCGCGCATTTTGTCTCCAGTACGTCTACGAAAATGCTCCGATCCTCGTCCTCCCAGCACACGTCGTCCATCTTGCGTATACTGTCCTTGATCGTCTCTTGCTCAATCGTCTGTGCGTTCTTCTGATCGACGTTCGACCCGCCAGGTTTTTTATCAAACGCATCGGTATCGTCACACTTTTTGTAACTGTATCTAACGTTATTCAGTAGTCGGGGAGCTTTATCTCGAGATAGATCCAATATTGTCTCAGTATTATCGCACATCTTCGCGGAGCTTGTTTCCTACAACGTTTGCCCAAGCCTTACGTTTCATATCGGATTTATCTCGCTTACTTTCGTAGTTTTTCACGGCGCTCTCTTTCGTGCTCCTTTTTATTTCTGTTACACACCTGATACGCCGTCCAAGGTGAATAACGAGGCTGCGACTCGCTGGTGGTGCACCCAGCAGGTGCGCGACATCGCTTATTAAGCAGATATTGCCGGCAAATTGACATCTGACACTTGCTCCCGTCTGAGCGATTCTGTGGATTATCATTCGGCCGACGGCTCGACGAATCTGCCTGCCGATCAGCACGCGACGAGGGATTTGAGCTATCGTCAAGTGGAACTTCCAAGCGAGGGGAGTCGCACTCTACAAGTCCGTACATATGCTTTACATTTTTTACGTGGTTGCGGATCGTCGTGGAAATTTCGTTCTCGGCGAAGCCGCGGAAGAGAAAACCCTCAGACGACTTGGAAGCCGACGCGACCTGGTCGCGTGGCAGGTTCTGCTGCGACGTCGAATAACTATCCATTATCTCGAGCGGATTCTCCGCGTCGAGCGTACTTTGAGGCGCGCCGCTGCATTAGAATACAAAAATACAATGTATTTCTTATACGGAAGAAAACATCTTGGCTGGATTAACCAGATGGTTGGTGAAATACGAACGAATCAGAATTCTGATTGTAGTTACCAGAATTCTGTTCAAATCAAGACTTTCATTAACCAAACAAAATTTCTAGTTAACCAGAACCTCCTGTCCAAGTTAAACAGTTGCAAGTTCTTTAACCGGATTAATTAGAAGCCTTGTCTGGTTAACCAGAATCTTGTTAATTTAAAGAGAATTCTGATAACTTCTAAGTAAAGACTATTAATACGGGCCTTCATTATCTCTTAGATGATCCTTTAAACAATGCGAGTGCGGCCCCAGATAACACAAGATGTCTTGAAGACATCCTGGATGTGTCCAGGACGTCCTGAAGCGCTCTCCAAGCGTATAGAATGATTGTAGGATGATTTTGGGATGTGTTTGGGGCGCGAAGAGAGCTTACTTTCTCTGAGGGTTGGATCTGACGAAGCCGGTAGTTGCGTCGAACACCTCCGCGACCCGATAATTCGGCACATCCTTTGGCGCAGGTATCATTGAGAATAGTAATCGCTTTCGGGGAGAATCGCAGTTTCTCAACAAGCCTTGCACCTTTTTCAGCACACGTTCGTACGCGACGATATCGTCTTCCGGTCGGTAAATTTGCAGCAATTGCGTGATTACATTTGCAATGCTGTCTCCCTGATGATCACACTGCAGAACTGAACGCAACGACGACAAATCCGTCGCTACCTCGACACCAACGTCGCTGCCAGTCGCGCTCTCTGCGATTACAGGAAATCAATTGTAATTATTTTGTGATTTAATTATAATCGTGTTGATGATTAAATCAGAAATCTGAAAAGTGCACTCTTCCGTGGCGTTAAAGTCAAGAATCCGTCTCAATAATTTTATTATCTCAGTCAAGTTTTTGTATGAAACATATCTGATCGTTTTTATAATTGCAGCCATGCTTGGACGGAATAAATGATTAAAAATACACACACTAATTGCGTACGACTGATCAGTGAGTGGAGTTGGCAATCGCAATGTGCACACGTGTGATCTTTGTTCTCACTTTTCACGAACGGCAATTGTACCATAGAATGTTACTTACGTCGCTTCAACTTGTCCATACTCGCGGAAATGCCGAGATCAAGGAGATTCACGGATCCCACAACGTCTCAGGACACTTCCTATCAAATTCGACGAGCCAGGATAAGGTATTCGCAAAATAATTGAAACGACGTTCATTTCCATTATTGAAAACAACTGAAGAATGCAGTGCAGATGACTCATTTGTAAAGCGATTAGAGTCCACGATCGCGCCCAGAAAATACGCTATTTATGTATGCGGCGAAACGGAGAGAAATGATGAGCCGGACTGAAGGAGAGAAATGGAGGAAGTTAAGGCTTCTGGTGCCTCCCGCCGCGGAACTCTCGATCGATGACGTCAGAAGTGAAAAAATGCATGCCCAAAATTCTTGCGCAACATAAAATAAAAGCGTATGTCCATAAAGTGACACTTGGATCCCACAATAATTTTGGGCATACGTTTTCTCGCTCTTCCGACGTTATTAATCAAAATGACCGCGGCGAAGACACGGAAGCTCTAATCCCGCGAAAACGAAACAAAACGGCTTCATTGCCGCTCGTGAAATCCACATGAGATAGAGAACGATTTCCATCGACTTGATTTTAAAATAGATCCTCCTGTGTCCCCCTACCCGGGTGGTAAGAAGGAAATTACGTCCCTGTACAGTACCGGGAGGAAATTATTGCGGCGGACTAATTAAAATACACAACTGCGGAGCTCTCCGCACATATGCGGGGAGTGGATTATTTTAATGAGACTCCGCCGTCTCGGACCGCCAGCATTCTCAATGCGGGTAATCTCCAAAAGACTTTGCAAGGATTATTGATCGATGATTGTTATAAAAGCGAGTCGACGGAATAGACCGGGCTACTTAGCGCACCATGCTTCGACAGAAAGCACTTTTACCGTTCATCTGCCTGCTGGCATTCGCCGCGGCACTACCACCAGGAGCACCATGGACGAACTTCATACCTAAGCCTGGTAATGTCGCTTTCCTGGTATTTCACTCTTCTCTCGTATCTTTGCACGAAGGAAAAAAGAGTTGGCTGCTGCTGCGAGAATCTGCGTGTGGCAGCTAAATGTCGTTGTAACACGTGGATACCTAAAAGTATAGCTATAAAGTATAGCTATAGTATAGCTGCCAATAAGTTATGAAACCGAGGTAGTAGTAACAGCTGTAAATTTTTACAGCAACAAATATATTTTCAGCAAGCCAAGATTAGCTGCGACAGTTAAATCTTTTTTCCGTATGCTCGGTAAACGAAAAAAATCGACGGGTGTACTTTCTCTGTAAAACTGAGTCACATGGGGATGATTTCCCAATAATGAATTCAACTTAAATTCAAATTTAAATTCTATACATCAAGAAACATATTGTTAGAATATTTGAATTTAAATTTACGATTAAACTGATATTTGAAAATTGACTCTTATATTCGAAACATTTTCCGACTTATTCCGAAATATCTTCTTAAATGTTAAATGTGAAGTCCGGGAAAAAAGTCATTCTGAAATTTGTTTAATTTTTCATATATTTATATTTGTAATAATAATTTGTCCTCTTTTATTAACAATTAAAATGATAAGATAAAAATAAAAAGAAATCATCACTTTGAGATAAAAAATGATATGATTAATCAGTGTTACAATTTTGCAAAACGTATATTTCTGTCTATTCTTTTCGATTTGACGTTTTTATAAAATTATTATAAAGCGATCAGTCGACTTCGATAGCAAATTTAATTTTATACTCAACGAGTTATATCAGATTAATTGATGATCACTTCGTGAAAACTTCGGGCTTAATTATTCAAATCATTGCCACTCTAATTTATTACACCGAGAAAAAAATACACTTGAAAATTTATTTCTAGAATAGAGAGTTTATTTTGAAAACAAAATTTGTTCCTGTAAATAAACTTTACTTCCCGCAAATCAATGTTCAAGTACATTTTTCTCAATTTTTTCTCTGACCTCTCATAACTAAACTACGCGAAAGTTTCTTAAAAAAAAAAAAAAGAAAAAACACTCACTGACCTGTCGATTCCATTGCTGAAATTTGCAGTTTACTCACGAGCATTAGGACCGATGGGTCCAATGGGCATGGACACGATATCCGTGCCGTACATGGCAAAGCCATCGATGTTCCCGAAGTTCGTTGATCCGAAGACAATGATCTCCAAGAAGACGGACATGCTGAGCAACTTATTTGGCGGCTTGGGCCCGGTCGCGTACAATCCAGCGGACGGGAAACCGATTACGGTGCCGTACGGTGCCAGCGGGTCTCCCTACGACAACGTCGGCGTCGCGGACAACACGTTGTTCAGCACGAAACGCGACACGCTGCAGGTTGGCAAAGAGAAAACGTTCGACGGCAGCAGCGGCACGATGTCCAAGCGCGGTATGTTCGGCCCGTTCACGCCGAAATTCGGCCCGATGGCACCGAAATTCGGTCCGATAACGCCGTTCTCCTCAGCTGACATGATGGCCGATTACGCGCCGGCGGGCAAGGATTTCTTCTCTCGCAGGAGAAGAAGCGTAGTAGGAGCTCCTGCCGACTCGGCGCCGACCTTGGGTCTGGCTGCTCCGTCGTCGTTCCTAAAAGGCACAGATTCGGCTGAAGGTGCAGCCGATGCGACCGCAGTAGCTGGTGACGCGCCAAAGGAATCCCTTCCGGGGATGTTCGGACCTTTCGGAGGCCCTTTCGGAGGACCCTTCGCAGGACCTTTTGGAGGACCTGTCGGACCGATGGTGGATCCGAGCATGATGATGACGAAGAAAACCACGTTCCTTGACACGTTGTTCAAGAGCCTTGCCACCAGCACCGCCGCTCCGCCGACGGCCACGGATGTACCCGCGCCGAAGAGCACCATCGTGCCACCCAGCTATTGGATGCCGTCTTCCATTATCCCCGACCCGAGCGAATATACGTCGAAGGTGTCGGACTTCTTGGACAAGCTGTTCGACAGCATAAAGCTCAACACGACCGCGAAAGTGGCGGACGACAGCTCAGACAGTTCGGAGGCGAAGAGCGCCTTCATGATGAGATCGTTGAAGCCAGACGACGCTGCTGCTGAGAGAACGGCGAGAGCCTCCCAAGACCTATCGGCCATCGAAACCGCCAAAGATTCGGTCGTGGACGCGATCTTGTCGGAGCTCGGCAACCTGAAGAGCGACATGATGGGAACTCTGAGCGACTTGATCGCCTATGAGAAGGCTTCCGCGGCTGCCAGCGCGGCTGCAGCGAAGAAGCCCTTCAAGCCCTTCGCCGGCATCTTCCCGTCGAAGCCGACGGTGGATCCTACGCTTCCATTCCAGCAGAGGATGACCGTACTGAGCCAGGTGTTCGACACGTTGATAGACCTGCAGAGAAACATCACCGCGGCCACGAACAACGCGATGACGACCAACGCCAATGCGGCGGACAATTCCGAGGAGTCGACGCCGAAGAGCCCGTCGGCTGTTGGCGCCTCGTCGTTCAACGCCACTCTCTTGGACGCCGTCCTAAAGAAACTGTCCGCTGTCGTGACTCCAGCCCCGTATGCAGCGAGTGACATGAAGGTGGGTTCCGTCATAACGAGCAGGGCCTTGTCTAAAGGACCGATGTCCTTCTGGGTGTCTTATCCGGAGAACGGCGCCACCGCGAAACGACAAGTGGACGATTACTCGTACTTCGACAGGAACGACGACGATGACCGCCGGAGGCAGTTCACAAGAGGCGTGAAGATGCAGATGCATCAAGGATACCAGAGCCTGCCTGCGGGTTCAGTGGAGTCTGTGCAAGCCGGAGGAGGCTCTACGCCGGGCCATCAAGGAGGCGGGATCAAATTGCTGGTGAGTGCGATTTTTATTCTTGCACGTTCAGTAACCCCGAATAATAACTTTCACTCATCAGGGTTGGGAAGCAACGCGTTACTTGCAGTCGTTATTGTTGCAAGTTACTTTCTTCCACTAACGAATCGGTAATGACGATTATACCTTTCTTCGCTAGTAATACTTCCTTCGTGTCTTTCCTTTTTTCCAGATGAAAAGAATCGACTTATCCTGGAAAATTAGAATGCTTAAGGCTGAAATATCAATGACTGGACACTAATAAAACTGGCATCTAACTCTGGACATTTTTATTCTATTGTTTTGGTTTTTAAGTACGAATATTTAATATATAATAACTCAATATATATAATAACTTTAATATATACATATATATATATATATATATATATATATATATATATATATATATATATATATATATATAATAATATATAATTACTGAACATTCTACATGATTATTTGTGAAATGGTAATTTTATGTTCAGTTTGATAAGTTCTACCTGTACACCGCAGCTACATAACGAATTGTTGGACATTCTATATGTGCATATATTGTGCTAAGTTTAAATATTCGTATTTAAAAATCAAAAAATATCCAGAGTTAAGTATCAATGTTATTAGTGACCAGGCATTGGTATTTTTATTTTCCACTCGAAATATTTCTCAAATTAATCAAATTTAAATAATCTCCTGAAAAAAAAATTAAATATTTAATTATATATATGTGAATTTTTTGCTCCTTTCTTTTTTCTTGTTAAAATTAAAGTGACAAAGCAAGGATGAAAAGGAATGTAAAAGAAATTTTCACTCTTAGAAATCAAAGATGTTATTAACTAGCGATATAATTTCACAAAATGCTCTTCCTGTTAATTCTTTTCAATTTTAGCGTTTTGTTTCATTGCAACGACAACGGATATTTCTTAAATTGGACAACAATAAAAGAACGAATCACTTTATTCAGTGGGCAACGAGTAACTTTTCAAAAGTAACTTTCCCAACCCTGCTTTCATTAATACACCGAGAACAATGTATGAGCCGTTGACGTGCGAGCTATTCGCGTCTCAAAAACAACTTTCAAGAGAAGACTTTTTAGAGAAGTTCTCTAGAATTGCATTTGCGCCATTTTGTCAAAACTCGCGATGGTAGAAATTGCAACGTATCTTCGCAGAAGAATCAATTCCAATATATAAAATCAGATTGGATAGTGTCTATTAACCGGCTTACATCGTTTGCGAAGTTCTCGAGTATTAAATAATCATTAACATTCTTATCATATAATAATATTATTTCAGTAATAATGCCATTATATAACAATAACATCGTCGCTTCACATCCTCTCTTCATCCCTTTATATCTACGAATATCGTGATATTTATATAAAATGTACAGAAATCTCCTCAGACCGATATAAGATAAAACGCGTTGGAAACGATTCGACACGCTCTGTAAAATCCACCTCTGGTCCGTGCACATGTTAGTCTATCTCGATTCACAAACTAACCGTGGGAGTAAAATTTCAAAACGCAACAACAAAATGTTGACGTAATCACTCGATAGTAATCTAGAAACAACTTTGCGTTGCGATACATCACGCGTCACGATACCTTGGAAGCCTATGTACAAAAGAAAAGAAATGCCTACATTCGAAACGAGGAACGGGAAATTGCATTATTATTGCCGGACGCCTCGCCTAATTGAGGAGATAGATACCGTACGCAGCTACGTAAAATGTGTGATAACTTCATCTGCTTTCAGATACAAATGCCTAAATCGCCTGACTCTCAAAGTATTAATTACACTTAAGTACACGGTGCGAATGTCTAAATTCATGAATATCGCGGGCGTGTTCATCTGTCGCAGGGGCCTAACGCTTACGGAAACTTAAACGACAAGTGGCTTGACTGGATGCAGTATCACAAGAACGCGTATCAGGATCAAGAGAATCATAGGCACCATCATAACCACCATTAGGCCACTCAGCCAGCAGGACTATCTCTCTTTTCTCCCGTTATTAACATTCTCACGTGATTGGATCCCGACGGGAAATATTCTTACAAATGCCAATTATTGTTCCAAACGTGTAAAAACAAACGTGTGTGTGTACGAGGACGGTCGTTATTACCAATAAAAATATACTTGGCAACAGAGAACGAAGGTAAAGAAAATGGTGCAACTTCAAATCGCCCGCAGGTATCCGAATACCGAAGAATCGAGATGTACGATACGACAGATCTATATGCGCGCGCGTATGTGTATGTGTGTACGAAGAATTGGTCTAAAATGCCGGATTTATTGTACATAGTTCGTTCCTCACCGGTCGCAGTACATGACACTCCCCCTAAGAAATACGAAGGATATGAAAGGTGGACACTAACAGTAACTAATAGCTTATTCTAATGTCGCACTCTAAAAGTGTCAGCCGCACACACCGATGCGCACCATCAGTCGTGCAGACACTGCGGCACACGGACGCAATCCTGCATCAAGTGCGTTGCTTTGTCCGTTCTACAATCAGCAATGCATTGCACGCAGGGTAGCGTTAGTGTGTTAGGAAGCATCACAGTCGGTTACGCGACGTTATAGTATTATAGGAGAGGTGAACTAGTTAATATCTCGAGCAAGAAGTGGAGAGACTGAAAGTTCCTGTACTTCGGTACGAAAAACGTCGTTTATCATTTTTACGCTAGGTATATATCTCTCTCTGACTTTATTCCCCGCCCCCCCCCCCCCCCCCATCACTCACTTTTTCTCCTTCTACTTCGCTTCTCGCAGCCGTCGTACTTTCATACAAAATTGTGGAAATATTGGCAGTATCGCGGTAAGTATTGATACTTGTGTGTTGATCGCACTATATGTATATATATAATACCTCGGATTTCTGATCGCCTGGAACGCGATCCCGCGTATAATTCGCGCGTATAAGTAACGAGCCACTTGCGGATTGCCGGCAAAAGTGAGGTGTGTCGACTTACGACTTTGGTACTTTGCTATCTGATTGTACTATAACACCGTCGACGACAGTGAGTCACTATCATCTGCCTTTTGTAATCCTCGTAATGACGTATTCCATTTGTTGCTCGATGCGAAAGACCAGATAAAAGGACGCGAGCACGCTGCACAACGTCACCAGGAATCCCAGTCCCTCGAATATCAGTTTCGGCGCGAAGATCTTCCAGACCATCAGGTGCCGACAGTGTATGGTCGCCGCTAACATACTGCCGAAGGTCTGGAAGAGAAGCATTCAACGTGCAGCTTACACGAATACATATGTTTATGTCGGTTTTTACTTTGAGGGAAATGAGACAGTGTCTGACTTTTTCGCTCTCGTCTCCCATGATATATTACTTACCCGGATGCCGTGAAGCAACACGTATTTCCCGGCAACTGAGAATATCGCGGCTTGAAAGGCGGAGTCTTGCTCAGACAAGAGGAAGAGCAGTTCACCTCTCTTCATGTCGTCCTCGAGAAACTTGGCCTTGAGGAACTTTGGAAACACCAAATGCAGGGTGAACGGCACGATCACCAATAGCGGCAATGTTGCTCCCAAAATAATATGCGATCCGAACGTGTTGATGCCTACAAGTTACTTTCGTCGTGACTCCAGTCGGCGGAGATTCTCAAGTGAAATCCGATATCGGCACCTTACCGATCAAAATCGCCGACATTAGATGTCCATAAAAGTGGCCGCCGGTTCCCACGAAGGCGGCATGCCAATGGATAGTGGGAAACGTCGCCTGATGGCCGGTTCCGTAGAAGAAATATTCCGCCAATAAAAACCAGCAAAACAGCACGGGCATAGAAACGTCAAGGAGTTCGGCTAGAAAAATAAAAAAGAAAAAATCGTTAAGAAAGCCAAGAATAATTCAATACATGTAACATACACATTCAGAAAAGATGTTGAACTTGTTTCACACAAAAACAGAGATCAAAAGAATGTAAAACTTTTGTTGAAAAAATTAAGGCAATTAATTCGCCATATACAACCTTCAGAGAAATTGAAATCAACCTATTAAATTTATTTTAAAAATTAAAATATTTAATTTAAATTCCTTAAATAAATTGAATTAATTTTATTATTATTTCATAATTAATCTATAAAATTTATAATTTATTTATAATTTATATAAATAATTTTATTTATTTATTTTTTATTTAATGAATTAATTCTACTGGAGTTGTCTCGACTAAAATCTTTCCTCTTACAGTAATTAAAAAAAAAAAAAAAAATAAATAAAACAAAATATCCCTGATAAATTGAAATACGTCTTAACCATTCTGGATGTTTTTAACATATAAAGGTATTCCATTTCAGAGCTTCTCACGTAAGAAATACGTATTCTTAAAAAAATATTAACAGACACATATATGACACTGCGCACTTACAGATAGTGTTAGCATTTTTGTATCTCTCGATCGTGGACAAACCCAATACGCAGGTACAAGTGACGAACAGCAGGAACGTGCTGGGCGATAGAGAGTCTCCCAATAGCAACGAGTACAGGAGCGTAAGGAACACGCTGAGAGAGATGAACGCAGCACTGTAGGTGGTGCCGATGCCGCAGATGACTGGAGTGTCGTCTGTATCTATACGCTTGCGGGAAATCGAGTCCTTGATCTTCTCGAACAAGCGCGGCACCAGATTCTCCTCGCGGTACACCTCGATGGACTCCCGCTTCTTCGGCAGTATGTAGATACTGAGCGGACGGTAGTAGAGGATGAGGATCGCCAGCACGCAGAGCAAGTACACCACGTTCGGCAAGGTCTTCACCTGCCAGGACAACACGAACTTCACCTTGTAGAACTTGGGCAGCTGCTGCAGAACCCAGTAGCAGCTGATGCAGACGCCGATAAGGACCGAGCAGTATTGGCCCACCATGACGCTGGGGGCGAAGCCCGTGAGGTTCCCGCGATCTCGCAGCCAGAGCTTCACCACCGTCACATACAGTGCCAGGATGACTACGGCGGGTAAAACGCGCTCCCAGTGATTCGACACCGTCGACCAGTCGAGTTTGCCGGTCGCGGAGACGGAGCAGGCCCGTTGCAGGTGTTCCTCACGGCAACGCCAGAAGTAGTGCGACAATCTCACCGAGACGCACGCCACCAGGCCGATGCTCAGCACGATCGCCCGGAAATTCGGTCTGGACGGCTTTGTGCCGGCGAATCGGCTGGTTCTCCTCTCGACACCGCTGTCGGAATCGCTCCTCCTCAGATCAAACACCAGCAGGCAAAGGAGTGTGATTATGAAGAAGGACAACACCTTGTCCTCTTCGACTATGTAGCTATTGGAGAAAAGGCCGCACACCGTCAGCAGCAACATTATCCTGGACACGTAGGTCAACAGTTTAATTCTACGATGTTCATACCAGCACATTGAGATCACGTCCCAATTTTGAGCGATCACCAGCACGAGAAAACCGATGGAGACCGCGCCAGTGACGAAGAAGGTCGTGTTTCTCAGCTCCTCCAACATGTCCAGTAGGAAGAGGCACGTGGTGACCGCCACCGTAACGAGGTTCGCGATCACCGCGCATTGCAGGAACGAAGATTTGAAGATGTCGCACATACGGCTCTCGGGGATGCCGGTGACGAAGAGGTAGAAGAAAAATAAGGAGCAGAACATGAGCAGCAGGCCCTTGGAGATCAAACCGGAGTCGAACTGAACCCACACCTCGGAGCAGGTGTCCTTCAGCAACTTGAAATAGTCCCTAGTGTCGTGGACGAACGCTTCCAGATCCTGTAGGCTGTCTACGTGTTTCACGCGCTCCGCGAGCAAGGCGTACACGCGCTCGAGATTCTGCAGTTGCTCCTTGGAGAAGAGGTTCGCGTCCGCGGAGTAAATCTCGATATACTTCTTCGTCTGCGCCACGTTCCTCCAGAGTGACTGCAACGGGTGCAGCAGACGAGCCACGGTCGTCTCCGCCGTTGCTAGGTTCGGCAAGCAGTCGAGTATCACGGAGCCCAAGTTGGAGAAAGGAATCGGCGTGCCGAGGATCGACGACAAGGTGGGCACCAGGTCGACCTGGTTCACACTATCGCTGCCGTTGATCGCGAAGCCCTCGAGCAACGGGCTCGTCGAGTAGACGAACATCGCGGCTTCGACCTCGCTAGGACTGTCACCGCCGTGGTCCCCTGTCTCAGTCATTCCGTGATCTCCGATGACAAAAAGCATCATGTCCTCCTCCAGGGACCCCACAATCTCTGTGATGAGCTTGTTGGTGTCCTTCAGCTTCCTGGACATCTCTGGGTGCTGCATGCCGTGCTTGTGGCCGCAATGGTCGACCCCCAGAGTATGGGCTATCAGCAATGACCAGTCCTTTTTCTTCATCTCAAAGAAGATACGATATTGCACATTCTTGTCCACGCTGTCCAAGTCCCAGACGTTGAAGGACGGCGAGGGGAACTGCCTGAGGAACTTCCCTGGGAATAGGCTGGTCCAAGTGTCGTCGCCCATGAAGACGATGCCGCCCGCGGCGTTCTGCTCGATCAGGTTGTCCTCGTTGATGTAGCCGGACGCGAAGTTCGAGCCCACTTCGATGAACGTAGGCAACGAGCCGGTGGTCAGGCCTTTGAGGCGTTGCATGGTCGTCGTAGGTGGGTCGGCTAGGAACCTGAAGAGGCGTGAGCGCGACGGCTGCTTCTGCAGCAGCTCGTGAATCACGGGCAGCTTGTTGCGGTGATAGCTGGACATGGAGGCGTCGTCATCGTGCCACTCGGCGAACTCGTACTTGAGCGCGTCGACGATCAGCAGCACGACCCGCGCCTTGCGACCCAGACACACCTCAGCGGCGTGATTGGTGTTGTGGAGGAGCTCGGACGTGTCACAGCCGACGTCCGGCGTACAGCTCGTGCACTCGGCGCGCTCCGGCCTGGAGACGCGGTTCAGCAGGAAGCCGCTGGTGAAAACCAGGAGTCCGGCCGCCATCAGATAGGACATCCACGCTTGGAACACCAAGTAGCTCCATAGCCGGCTCATTTTTGCCGCTCGTTCAGTGCCGTGAAACGTTGCTGCTGCTGTTGTACACTGGCGGCACGACGATCACACGACCGAGGAAGATCCGCCGAGACCTTAACCTATGACGACACGCCGGCCTGTCACTCACCATTGTCACATCAGCGAGACGATGAGAGGGACAGTTTGCTCTCGCGGTGTTCCTTGTACGTAGACCGTGTTAAATGCCACGAACAATCAATCAATAACTCATGTATCTTACGTCGAGCCGCGGATCTAACCTCAAACTTGCGATGTACTGCGCGAATCGACTCACATCGATTCACGTTGCGCGCGGCTTATGACTGATGGCAAATTGGAGATAGCAAATCGAGGGGTCTGTTTTACCGTCAGTTCTATCTTCTTCTAGAGTACGCAATGATAAAGCAATATCCTGATTGGTTCTTCAGCTTAAATTTATGTCTTATGTCTATGGTTACGGAAATTTGTATGCGAAAACCCTAAAGACTTAAGGCTATCGCACACAAATTGACATAACTGGATATGCATAATATAAGATAGTATGGACCAATGAGCATCGAATATTAAGCATCGAACACCAATATGGCGACTTAATACTCGATGCTCATTGGTACATACGGTCTTATGCTATGCAGTTATGTCAATTTGTGTGTGATAGCCCTTATCCAGATGACTTTATATAGGCGCATATGCAGGGTGTATATCAGTTGGACACAGGGCAATTGGACACAGTCCAATCACAAGTCGCTGTTCCAAGGGACCCTACAAATGTCTCTAATCACACGGTGCTATGATTGGCTGTGTCTAAATGCACCGTGTCCATGTGCACCGCTCCCGCATATGCATAGCACAAGATTATCCCGACCAATGAGCATATTATGTGAATCAATATAACTACTCTATGTGAATCAATATAACTACTCTATGCTAAATGCTCATTGGTCCAGACGGTTTTATGTTATGCATATGTGGTTAGTTCCAATCTACAATAGGTGTAGTAAGCTTTAAGCCTTAAGAAATTGACTAATTTGACTAAATGGACTACAGTCGATTATTCTCCTCAAGTTTGACTGTGATTGGTCAATTTCTTAAAGCTTAGGTCTTAAAGCTTAAATCACTTATTGTAGATCGGGACTTAAGCTTATTACACCTATTGGATGCTTTCCAGTTGCGTACACTGTTACACAAACCAGTTTATTGGTTGCATATTGGCTTGGTTTACATCGTGCACTTGATACGCGTACTAAATAGTAATTTTCTATTAGTAATTTACTAATAGTATTTCTAGATAATCTTAATATCTACGATATATATAAACAACGGTATATTAAGCTGGTTTAATATTCATCAACAAAACGTATTGTATTGATTGAATGCATCGCCGTTGATATGCATTGTTGATATTAAGATTATCTAATAGAAAATTACTATTTAGTACGCGTATCAAGTGCACGATGTAAAGCCAATATGTGACCAATAAACTGATTTTGTGTACGTGTGTGTCAAGATGTGTTGAGGAATTGGAATGCACCCATTGTAGGTCGGGATTATGGTTATGGCTTAAGCCAACGACACACGATGCTTTTTTTCATCCTAGATGGAAATACTCTATTTTGATTGGTTTCATCCATCTTCAGAAATGCACCAATTAGAACCGGATGGGACCCGATTGACTACGGTACGATTGGACACAGATTGTAATGATTGGTTCAACCTGGTAATTCACTAGATAATTCTTTGCATCGGTTGGTTGTGTCCAATCGTACCGTAGTCAATCGGGACGCTCCCATCAGAACCGAGTATTTCCATCCAGCAAGCAAACCAACACGAAAACAAGCATCGTGTGCCGCTGGCTTCAGACACACGACTGATCAATTTTCGCTAAGAGATGGCGACTTGTACGCTGTTTGAAAATTAACCAACGTTCATTCGTCACCAACAGATGGCGACAGTGTATCGCCTGGAAGCCGTGCGAAATCTGTTCAACTATTTCAAATTGTGCGCAACTTAGTTTTTGTGTTGTGATCGGAAGTTCTAAGGTAACGTCAAATTATGGGACGATCTAGACGGTGAAGGTCTGTAATCATGCGTTTCTCGAGATGCTTCGGCTCCTGGAAATTCAGAACTCTGATGTGTTACGTGTTCGGAAACGTAATCGCGGCCAATAACGACATGAACCAGAGCTTCGAGCGTATGTTTAAATGGAGGAACTTGCAAGAAGGCTTCGACGAAGCTAAGATTGTCAGGAAACCGATATTCCTTCTCATCTACAAGACAGGCTGCCCTACTTGCGACAAGCTGAAGCCCAAATTCACCAAGTCCATTAGACTCCACGATCTCAGCCAATAGTGAGTAACCTCTCGCAATGTATTAATCGCTTTATTGTGACCTTGAAACTGTTTGTTCAGAAATACGCGCAATTTTCGTGAATTTTAATTTATCTTATAGAAATTAGAAAGAGGTAAATTATACAAATGCGACGTTTAACTATATTTCCGAGAAAAACTCGCGACATTGATCACAGAATTAATGTTGGATTCGTTGCATATGTTTGACGCGACATTGTAGCTTCGTTATGGTGAAGGCAAAGAAAGGTGAAATGTCCCCGATATACGAGGCGAGATTCCAGCCGGATGGAAATTACGTCCCTAGAATTCTGTTCTTCACTCCGGACGGCGAGTTTATGGAGGACATTTATAATCGTCATCTGCAAGCCGACAACAAGTGTAAATACTTTTACAGTAACGCGACTCAAATTATAGACAGCATGATTTTGGCATTGGAACGCTGTCCCAAAGAGTAGTTACAGTCTCCGAAAAAAGGAACTCTCATAAAATAAAACTTTGAAATTAAAGCGTTGCACATCATGTTCATGAACAATACATACACAGTATTGTTTCTGTAAGTTAAATGTATTGCGAATTAAGATGAAGTAAAAATTTAAAAAAGGAATAAATAGTGACAAAAGGTCAGCGCATAAATAATGATTTAATATGTAATGGAAATCGCGCGGTGTTAACTTTCTCTCTCTCTCTAACACGAGAGGTTCGAGTTTTATGAATTTAAAAATTGTTCAGGTTCTATATCAGTTTTATAATTTCAAATTTATTATAAAAATACATATTAAAAAATTCATATTTTATAAAATTAAAAATTCTACATAATAAAATTTAGAATAATAAATATAAAAAAATATATTAATCGAAATATTCTCTTAGATATTCAGTCAGTAAATTCAGTAAAAAAATTCAGTAAAAAAATTATTAAAAATAATTGTCAGTTTGCTCGTGAAAAATGCATTCAATATAAAACAAGGATCTAAGCTTATCATTACTTTCAATACTAAAAATATTTTTAAAAGAAATCGAAGTTGAAAAATATTAAATTTAAAAAAGCTAAATAAAAATATTAAATGCAAATATTAAATTAATATTAGATAAAAATAAATAAATAAAAAGTCAAATTAAATAAATTAAAAAAAGATATTAAATGTAAAAAAATTTAATATAAAAGTAAAAATAAATTTTGAAAAATGACTAGCTTGTATTGGACTAAAAGTTTAACTCATAGTTTTGAGTGGATCCCAATCAATTCTTGTTTCAATTTGGTTTGCATAAAATGATATTATCGTATCCTAATAGGTCATGCAAATTGTCACAGTGTGGCAATCAGAATCTTATTAATAATAAGGATTGTTAATAATGAAGACCTTATTAATAATCAGGATCCAATAATATCACCTTATACAAACCAGATAACCAATTAGAATTAACTGATGAGGACATGGGATAAATTTCTAGTTAGATATATGAAAGATTGAAAATTGTGGATTAGAGATCGAATTCGACGGATGTAATTTCGATTTTGAAATCCCAATAAGCTCCTTTTGTCCCAATAAGTCAAGTTCCAATCTTCAATTTTTAATCCTCGAGCTCTATACGGTACTTTAAAGTTTCGCGTGCACAACACGTAGATACTGGACCGCCGAGATGTACCTCGGAAAGTCGATTTGCAGCTGACGCAAGGCGGTTATCTGCTTACTATCGACAGGCCTTTGCGTCGCAAAAGGAACAAAATAACGGGTGTACGGAATGAAGAAACCAATTTAAGTTGGACCGCAGAGCCCCTCTCTTACTCCCGAGGACTCTTCTTCCCCAGCATTCGAGTCTGCGCTTGTACGTCGAATTCGGTGCGCTCGGTCCGATATTATGAACGACCTATAGCGAGCTCGCAAAGGTAGGCTTGACGGCGCTTGCGTTTGCAACAGTTGCCAGATGGCAAAGCTGCGTGGCATTGGCCGACGAGATCGCAACCAAGAAGTCGCAACCCCTCGTAACCACGCCCATTTCATCCCTTCCGTGCACACGCGCTTGTTACGCAAATATGCATATATATATGCATGCAACATATATTAAAATTGGCGTTGATCTTTTTTTGTAACAAGCAAAAGGTTCACTGGAAAATAAGACTTGCTGTTGATAAAATCGAGAATTTAGACCGCCACTAGAAGTTTTTTATATCCCACAAATAAATTTTCAAGTATTCTTTTTTTAGTGTCATCAGAACTGTAGGATAAATTTCTAGTCGGGAAGACCACAACACTTTCCTATATCACAGTTGTATGGCAATTTATATCCTAGAATATTTTGCAAATTTTCCTCCGACGTGATCTAGCATCTCTGAATCGACATGTTTGTCGCACTTGAAACGCGCAATATCAAAGCGACAAAGTGCTGTAAGGCGCGCCCGCAATTGCACGCATCTATTACCTCATTCGTGCCGCGGGACACCTGCGTCAGCGAATACTCCTTACGGAAATCGTATTGTCCGCGGGTCGTCTTAAAAATCCACATAAATATTCGCGCGATAAGACGCCTAATACACTCCTACGAACGATATCTGTTATTACTTCGTCCTCTTGTCCGCTTTCTCTCTCCCTCCGACAGACTTAATATCGAAACTCTTCGAACATCCAACTCTTTCACCCCTCATCACGGACAAAGAAAGAAAAGAAGAAAGAGACGCGTATGCGAGAGAAAAATCGCCTGTGTCAAATTGACCCGACGCGAGTACTCGAAGGATAAAACGCGTACGCGGCGGCAATATCGCGCATACGTTTTCACGACGAGCGAATTCCACGGGCAGCGGGGGTGCAGGAAGTAGAGGAGGAAGAGCAGGAGGAGGATGAGGAGGAGGAGGAGGAGGAGGAGGGAGGAGAGCTTACGCACATCCGTACGTTATGTATGGATCTCTCCGCGGACGGTTCTGTGTTTGAAGGGTTGCAGATAATATATAGCCCGTTTCGGCGGAGAGTGCTTTTTAGCTTTGACCGTTTCATCCGGTGGCGGACCGAGAGCCGGACCAACCAACCAACCAACCAACCGGCCGACCGACCGACCAACCGACCGACCGATCGACGACCACCGACCGACCGGTCGGTCGGTTGGAGCTATTGCGCCCCGTAATATCGCACCCCCGCGCTACCCACGTGCACCTATATCTCCACGTCCGTCACTTTTTTTTCCGCCTCGCTCGCAGAGTCCTGACCACTCCGCGCCCCCTCCCCTCCACCCTTCCAGCCGGTAGCCGGGGGCGGCTTTAAAAAATGAGCCGGGACATTATTTCTGCGCACCCCCTCCGTGGCTCCTGCACGACTGACCGATCCAGTCTCTCTCTCTCTCTCTCTCTCTGTGTCTATCTGTCTCTCTCACTCACTCACTCTTATTCTCTCACCCCCTCCCTTCGACCCCGACGTCGTTTCCGCCGGCGCAGCTTGCAATGTGCCGCATCAGCGAATGTGCAAAAATGAAGAGAGAAAGAGAGAAGAGAAGTCGCGGAGGGTGGCGGATGGTGGACGAAGCCTCGGGGTGGACGAGAGATCGAGAGATCGAGATGGGGAGGGAGGAGAAGAAGAATTATATATCTCTCGCGTGAGAGAGTGTGTGTGTGTGGGTGTGCGTGTGTCTCTCGTTCGTTCGTCCGCCCGTCCGTTCGTTCGTTCGGTCGTTTCGGCTCGGATATGGATATGCCCCCGTGTGGATATATCGGGAGAGCCAGGGAGCCATTTTCAATTCAATCTGTTAAAAGCACGTCAAAAAGTCATACGGTATTTCACCGGCGCGGTAGATCGCGACGAGATCGCGGCAGCTTCATCGCGACCCGACAGCGGCGTGAATAGCGTACACACCGGTGCACGGCTCGTCCACGTGCTTGTGTGCATCGACGTGTGGCGGTGTCATCCGCGATGTCGGGTTAACGGACATCAATCGTCATCGTCTTGGCAACTGTCCTGGCACGCGATTAAACGCAAGTCAGTGGCGATAATCGCTCTCGATATAATGGGTCCATTAATCCTAATGGATTCGTTGTATATATAAGTGAAATTTTTCATTATACAAACACGAGACCTTGCTAAGTAAGAATTAAGGATTTGCAGAATTGAAGGATAAAATGTGAGAGAGCCGAGAGCAGAGAGAGAGAGAGAGAGAGAGAGAGAGCGCAGATATTTTTTAGACTTATAGCGATTAACTTCATAGCACCGTTCAATATTTATGATAAATAGACGAGAATAGTCGCAAAATTATATTTTGTGGCCTAAAGATCGCAAACTCGCACGGAGAAAAATATTTGGTTGTATTAAAACGAAGGTTGGTTGTAATGAACGAATGAGAGTTTTTGATTAAAGGAAACAAAATGTCTGATTCTTAGAACCAAATCTGAATCATAAGAAATATGCGCAGAAATTCTGTGTCCTTCAACCAAAAAAGCGCGTTGGTTTGTTCATTAAAACCAGACTTCGCGATCAAATTTTTTTTCCCCATGTATAAGAACGTTTTTATTGCCTCTTAAATTCCATAAAAAAATTGCACGTCTTGAATCAGTAAACATCAATTTACACGTCGGCTTTACACGTGACTTTTTGCGCAAAGTTGCATCGAATTCAGTGTAATCCTCCCGACGAACTAGCGATCACCGCTTCCGCCGTGTCAAGCAGGTTACATCGAAGCGACATGCAAGCACTTCTTACCTGCGATTTCTTTGTGCGGCTCTGATGTGGCGACTATAATCTAATCTCGCTTATCCGATCGCGCGCCGCCGATTCTCTCGATCTCGGCCAGCCGTCTAGTGTCGCGGGGTCAACTCGACGTTTGCAAACATTGTAATTCGATATTGCCGCGATCCTGATCTTGATCACTCTGTTTACCTAAAGGGGCGTACAGCCCGAGGGAAATCTCGAGTGCGTGGGCGAACAATGCTCCGCTTCGAGCCACTCGACATCGCAGATAAACCGGATACTTTTCGGAAACATTTCGAGCACGGGAATTAAAGACCGTGGGAGAGTACGGTGACGATTTTTCTTGCGGAATGTCAGAGAAATGCGCGAATGATAGATAACATCTAAGTTTGTGTGAATGTATGTACATACATTTCACAAACTTTTTTTCTTTAATTGAGTTTCTTGATTTTTTTTTTTTAATTGCTTATAATGTATTTGCAAAGACGTTACCGTTTTATAATAAACAGGATGTGTGTCCGGAAAATACCCACTTACTGTGAACGATAAATATTAGAAGATATATTGAAAATAAAGTGTGGGTGTTTCAGTGACAGAATATCGATAGTTCGAAAATTCCCAGTAATGGGAAACTAGAGAGACCTCGGCGAATTATAAATTTCCAAGGACTGCGTGCAAAAATTATGAAAAAGACAACAGATATAAAGAAGTCTTGTTTTTCAATAAATTTCAAATAAATCGCAGATATATGAAGATTTTCTATTTGACAATTTTATATTGAAAATCGGGTAAAAAAGTGGCAAGACAAAGTAACCCGATTAATAGTCTCAAGTGAGATGTTCAGATTTGAATTTAGTGTTAAATGTGAATTTTTCATTTGAGTCATATAATATATGTGACATTATATTTGTAATCGCCAGATTCAAGTAACGGAGTTTCAAGTAACGATTATTAATATACTGAGAGAAAGGATCTTTAAAAAATAAAAAATATTTATTCAGTGATTACTAATAGCATATTTTCTTAAATCTAAATCCTTTTATTTAAATAGGAGAGATGATTGCTTTCATGAAAACACCATTTGTTTATTCTATTTAAACTTCCAAGCACCCGGCATGCTGCTAAGGTTTTAAAATGTATATTCTCTTATTTCTAAAAAATATTTCTTATCAGTATAAATAAACATGCTATTATTGCTCACCAAATAAGCATTTTTTATTTCTTAAATATTCCCTCAGTGTACCGATCAAAGGCTCAAATCTATATTGTACCAAAGTAATTTATGTCGACTCTTTGTCTTAGAAAAAGTCTGGGAAACATGATCCTTTCACCATTGTCCAATTTTCTGTTGTCCTATTTAAGCGCAATTTAAAATGGCACTCCGACGGGTAAACGTTGCGATTTCGTATTTACTTCATGACTCCTCCGATTTTGCATTCTGACTTGTACGAAAAGTACGTGATACTTTATAAAGCGGGCATGTATTGGCGTACCTATTGGTTTATTGATTTCTCCATCGGCGCGTATATTCGCTTTGAGTGGCCGATACGCGAGAGTAAAAAAAGGTCCGTGCTGGTGCGGCATATATATATATATATATATATGTGTGTGTGTGTGTGTATACAGCGGCGTGAATGTATACTCGTGTGGAATACTTTTAATATTGCTCAAATTCGCTCGCCGTCAAATTGAAAAATCCCTTTGCGAGCGTCATCGAAAAAAAGGTGATGTCCCGTCGCGATTATATTTATTGCGCGCCCTTCTCGTGACACCCTCGATGACGCTCGGCGTCCGTACGTTCATTCGATTCTATCGATTGCCAAATTACAATGTGGATAATTTTGACCGAGTGGAGATTGCGCGTGACGCGCGACCCGACTCGCGACAAATGCGAAAACTCTCCCACCCCTCGCCTCCCGCGGCGGCGATTCATCGCATCGCCCGAAAAAGGAGGTGTATGGAGAGAACGCGGGATATATCAAAATCGGACAATGGCGCTCTTTCACCTTTCCACCTTTGAGCTCTGCGCGCGAGGAACCAGTTTCAGTCTCGCGGATTTCGTGTTCTGTGTGTCGTGTAAACCTGTTCTCCCTTTCCCCGAGTGGCGTCGAGATTGCATCGTACACACGCCCCTCGTCGCGCGATTTATGCATTCGCAAAGAAATATGTCAGAGTACATATGAAATAACCGACACACCGCGATTGTTACTTTCCGGGCTTAGAAGCGCGTAGGGTGCGCAAACGGCTTCTTCCACGCGCGTCTCTACGTTACGTATATCACGTGCTCGGTGGTAGTTTAGGTTGGGCAGAGGGTAGATAGGTAGGTAGTTAGGTGGTTGGGTGGATAGGTAGGTATATAGAAACGTAGAGAGATACGGGATCCAAATCATAATGCGCACAATGCTTTTATTCTATTCTCTCATTGCGGGGTAAATAACATCTGTACATTAGATCACTATAAAATCGGCCGCCATTGGCGAAACGACAATAGGACTGCTGTCTCTCTCTCTCTCTCTCCCTACCTGCCCCCTCCCGCTCCCCATTCAAATCTCATTGTACAATATGATTCAAAGAAGGCTCGTCGCGATGACGGTGTTGGTTGCGGTTTATAGACCGTATCCAGCGAAAGAGAGCGAAGCGCGGCAAGAGAGAGAGAGAGAGAGAGGGAGGGAGGGAGAAACGTTGGCCAGAAGGGGGTGGCGGGGAGAAATGGAGAAAGGGAGATAGAGAGAACGGTGGCGATAGAGGGAAGGAAAAAAGACGGAAAAGGAAGAAAGGACACGTTTCTCGAGAGGACGAGGACGAGGAAGGCGTGCGTGGTTAAGAACAGTCGGCCGAAACAAAAGGCGGAGCGTGGAGAAACGTCTGAGCATCGCTCCGCATTGTGTTTTATGCCGGAACGGGTTTTAAATAAAAGAGTAATGTGTTTGTCCGTTGCCACCACCACTACCACCGGCGCGGTGCTACTACCCATCACCACTACCACCACCACCACCACCACCACCATCATCATCACAGCACCACCTCCGCCTCCGCCGCCTCCGCCGCCGCTGCCACCGTCACCATCACCGTCACCACCATCAGCCACACCGCTATACGGAAGATACACACAACCAACGCATACTTACACCCCGACCCCGTAGTGAGTGGGTAAAGGTGTGGTAGGTGGGTACGCGGCTAGGTATGTCCCCCTTTCAACTACGGCAGATATAAACTCTTAACATCTCCGTTTGGTACAGCTTGGGCCTGCCAATCGGTGGCGGACGGAGGCGTGGTTGCGGCACAGAGCGACCTCGCGTTTGGCCGAGGCCCCGGGGTGGAACACTGTGGCACAGTGTTTTATTTCGCGCGTGGAGTATGGAGGGGATCGTTAGTTTCTGCCCTATCCTTCTCTTCCCCTCCACAGCCCTCTCCCCCTCCTGGCGAACCTCCGCGGTCGTGTCACACGCTCTCTCTCTCTCTCTCTCTCCCGCTCGCACCCTTGCTCGCACTTCCTCTTCTTCTCTCCCGCTGGTATCCTCCCCCCTGGCGGCGGCGGCGACGGCGACGGCCGCCACCGCCACCGCCGACTGCGGCCCCCTTGAGCTCCCACTTTGCTGCCGCCGCCACCGCCGATACCGCCGCGCCGCGCGCTACCGCCTCTCTGTCTATCCGCGCGCGCTACCTGAATCGACTCACCCGGGATGCTGCAATTGTTGACAATGCCGGCGAACGAGCGGGAGTGAGAAAGAAGGAGAGAGAGAGGGAGAGAGAGGGGTGGCGAGTGTGTGTCGCGGGGCGATACCGCATTTCGGCCCACGACCGCCGAACGAGCGGGTGCGTTCTCTCCGTGACAGGCAGCGGTCGCAGGAGTGTAGACTCGCGGAAGTGCGGGCGCGTGCGCGCGTATAGTTACCGGGTAGTACCTGCCTACCTACCTACCTACCTACCTAACCAATTACTTACCTGACCAGCTACCTAGCTACCTATCTATCTTACGTATATCTCTTGGTTTCGTTTGTGTCGCGAAACAAACGGTAGCAAGGCTCAATCGACGATGTCACGGGTGTCAGGGACAACGGCTGGACCGTGACGCGATCGCGGCACAGTGTGTCAAGTACGTCGAACAGGGTATCAATTCTACGGCACGGTGGTGGTGCTGATACACCGGAGGCTTCCCGAGAATTGTCGTCATGCGTGCCTCCGGCATGGGGGTGAGCGTCGTCGAGTACGCGGCACCGCGCCCGGCCCGGATCGGCCGCGACGCGCGGTGATCGACGCGCGGTCACCACCGTCGCCGATGCACCCCGCGACGATCGCGCTGTTGCTGATCGTCGCCGATCAATCCCGCCATCAAGAGAGAGCGCTCGCCGAGAGCGTTCACACAGTGAACGAGCATGTCGCTGCCCCGCGGCGTCGGCCTCGGCGTCGACGTGGGCCAATTGATGCAGCATCAGCAACAGCAACAGCAACATCACGTGCTGCCGGCCGCGTTCTTCCTGCGCGCCAGTGCCGAGAGGTACCAGCGGACCCCCAAGTGCGCGCGATGTCGTAATCACGGGGTCGTGTCCGCGCTCAAGGGCCACAAACGCTACTGCCGATGGCGGGACTGCGTGTGTGCCAAGTGCACCCTCATCGCCGAGAGGCAGCGCGTCATGGCCGCACAGGTAAGAGGCTGTCGCCAAGGAGCCGATCTTCGACGTGTCGCGACACGTCGAACGTTATCTCCCTGCGCGTCCGTAAAGTCCGTGTCAGACTAGGGGTTGGATCCATTAGACGCTTCAAGCTGCTTTGGCTACGTAGTGATGACCTCGTTAATATCATGTTCATTCAGAAGAAAGCACGGTGATGGAAATTGTATAGGTGACATTTATGTGAGTTTTGTATGTGTAGAAGTAATGTGTGAAATTGTAATGTGTATAATTATATATACATGTATATATAATATAAAATAGAATGTCCCTAGACACATTGTGTCTATCTGTCCAATCTCTTGGTAAGTTGCCTAACAATTAAATCATATGTTTGTTTTTGAAGGTAAAAAGAAGACAGATACATGATTTAACTGCTAAGTAGCTTACCAAGAAATTAGAACAATCGGCCCTGTGTATCTCTATATGCTCCCCGTATTAACTCTTAAACTCCTTGATCGATCTGGGCCACATTTTGCATGGTTACTCTCTGGGATTCTGCGGCGAATACACTGAGAGAAAAATATAGTTGCTTTCGGCGTCAACTATACTTTTCTGTGATTTTAACCAGAAAAATAATTAGAAGAACCTTTCTAATAACACTTATTAAAACAATGGTTCTTCTAATTATTTTTGTGGTTAAAATCACAAAAGCGTATAGTTGACGCCAAAGGCAACTATATTTTTCTCTCAGTGTATAAGCTGCATGAAATCTGAACACCCCCTCACTGTAATTTCATATCCTTGACACTTTGTAATAATTTAAGTTTAGATGTTCTGGATATAAAAAGACCGAACGACGCCGGGTAGTTTAAGCTAGTAAACTAGATACATTAATTGTACATATAAAAGATCATATAGTTGACACTTGCATAGTTGCCATCAGCATATTTTTTTCTGAGTGTATAAAAGAGAGAGAGACGCTTTCAAGTCTACAAAGTGTGTAATGAAATTGTGCCCTAAATATTGGAGACTAAGGATACTTGTGAGTAGAAGAGATGATTAGAATTTGACAAATCGGGACAAAGCCAAGATCGGGACAGAGCCAAGATCGAAATTAATTGATTTGTCGAATTTTAATCTCTAGTTCGTAATTGCCAATCTCCAATACTTAGCCTGGTAAGAATGTATGAGTTTCATGTCAGGATTTTACGTAGGTTTCATGAATTCCTTCGAAAGCGCAAGGAAGGAGAGAGAGAGAGAGAGAGAGAGAGAGAGAGAGAGAGAGAGAGAGAGAGAGAG